AGTTTATAAGTTTATTGAAGTTTATTGAAGTTTATTCTTGTTCAAAGAAAAAAAACAAGCTTTTCTCCTGCTACATAATACTTTAACTTGTGATATTTCACTGTAATATATAACTAAATGAGAACGTTCAGTTCAGAGTAAAGTACAAAAGAATTGTTTGAACCATTAACTGTTACATTATTCACCTTTAGCTGTTGAATCACAAACGATTCTCCCACATCATTATACTCCCTTACGTCAGGTCGCAACCCTTTTGATAGGAAGTGCCATCTTTAAATGTTTTTTAGCATTATGTTTAATTATGTCATCAGGCTAATATTGAAATCACCAACGGATCTGTAATTTTATTCCATCCGTATCGGCTACGTGCATAGGAAAATTAATAAAAAACATTCTTCCCTCATAACCAGGACATTGTAATCATAAAAGAGAGAACTACACACGAAGGCTGCAATCATAAACAGCCACATCTGAGTTGAAATCATTGACTCCGCCAACCTCCCATCAATCTTCAGCAATAAACTCTGCAAACTGTGAGAAGAAGGCAACGAGTGCTAGCCAATCAGTGGCAGAGTAGGGCGGGTCTTTGTGGTGTTTGTGGATGAGAGGGCACGTATCCAAAGAACTCTAGCACACTTATTGCGAGTGTACTATTGGTAAAGCTACCGCGGGCCACAGCACTTGTGTCTAAGGTTGTTTACCCCTGCCCTACCGCAATGCATTTCCACACAAGGGTTTACGCTATAAAAGATGTTGATGAAAATCTAACTCAAGATTGCACAATGCCTTTTTTTTCTCAGTGTCCTGATAAAGCCCAACAGACACTCAAAGAGGACACCTACCTTCATGTTCAGACGTTAGAACTTTGTGAGGCTACTTCTCTCCTCTGAGTAAATGAGCTCATTTACACTTTTCCCAAAATATTAGAAAATCAGAATACCTTTCTCTTCTGTAGATGGCTCACCCATTATCCCCAGTTTGAACCCAGGTGTACCCAGAGACAATGTACTTGTAGTCCAAAAGCTGTAAAGTGGTTAATGTGGGATGGGAGGGAGTGGAGATTTTGAACTATAAGTACGTGGTCATTTCAGTCAGGAACACACTCGTCATAGATTTTAACCATTTTTTTGCAACAAATGCAGATACAGTTAAACGTGGCTCTGATGGCTCCGCTCTTTGAATGCTCCCCAGATTAGCCAGCAGCTACCAAGCCAAAACGAGGAGCACCGAGCAACAACCCCCAAGGGTTTACAGGAATGAGTACATTTTTTAAATACATTTCAACCATTTGCCATGAAAGATGAACTCTGAACTAAGCTAGTTTATCCGTCTTTCCTTTACAAGCAGGAAAATGATTTCTCTCTTTATTTGAGAAAAGTTCATATTTGTGTTGTCAAATTTTACTATGACCCTCAAATTCTGTCTCTTGTGTTATCATATACTGAATGCAAGCAAAACTACAGAGCAAAATCACACTTTCTGATTGAACCAATCTATGAACTGTCTGAAACAATGGATATCCACGGCCCCAAATGGGCCCAAAAACAATTGCCGCGCACTACGCACGCAAACATGCCACTCCCCTTTCTTTGAATCCTAGAAACGCCCCTGGCTGGCTGTCATCTGGTTACAGCTGGGGGTGTATGACTTCCGTGTCCTCCATGAACTAATGTGATGCTTCGTTTCAGGAATGTCCAGCTGTTTTCTTCCCATTATAAATAAATCCAGCGTGACTTTTCTCCTCCACACTCCTGCCCCGCAGCTGAACTCCTCTCTTGGCTCCACTCTCGCTTGTATACCCTTATCTTAGCAGCAATAATGGCCACCGCTGGAAAGGTGAGCATAATCTAACACGTGGCCGCTCATACGTATGTGGTGTTTTTCTTCTTTTTCTTCTTATTTTTTTCGCAATATTTACATGATACGGTATGTGACATAGGCAATGTTCTGTGTATTTAAGCACTCACACCAAAGTGAAAGTGTCAGTCACGATATAGCAAAACATCAGAAATCAATGAAACTGTATCTCATTAGCGAATGATAATTTAGCACTATTTTCATGAAGAATATTTTGCATTTGAATGTGCTTCTGTATGTAGTGCAGTTCACATTTGTGAGGCTGATTCAGGGGGTTGGACTGTGCTTTCCTTGCAGTATTTCCCAGCATAGATAAGTCATATTATGTAATAGCCTTATGTAATAGCTTGAGGGTATCTTAACCTTAAAGGGCCCTTTCTTTTCGTCTCCAACTTTCCATCTCTGTCTCTCTGTCTCCGTGAAATGTCTCAAGTCCTGGCTTGGCACAGTTTGAAAGTATCCAGTCAGATAAAACATTCGAGTAAGAAGACCAAGTTTTCATTATATGTCCACAGCAGATTAAAGAAAATACTTGTGAATTCAAGACAAACCGCTTGATTCATCAAATCTGACACAACTGAATTACTCTGCGGTTTAAAGGTGCTAATCAAAGATTGTGTTTGTCAAATAACTCTTGTGTGGACTTTAAACTGTTCCTTTTTATGTTTGCTTTTGCCAAGAGCAGCTATATATAGAGATATGGAAACCGCTTACCATCAACATGAACAAGTAATAAAATAATAAAAAAAATGTAGTGAAGCGAGGACGTGAAACCCATTTGTTTTCCTCAATGTGACAGACAGTCAATGTGAAAAGCTGACACCATGCTTTACCATATACCTTTCATCAAAGGATTGTGGCACTGTTGATCCTTAGTTTGAAACCGTTCCTAATATGGTTTAACAGTCCCCAGTAATATTTGTCATATCTCATGCTGGGTAATTTCATGTGGTGTCTCTGCCCTGTAGGTGATCAAGTGCAAGGCTGCAGTGGCGTGGGAGCCCAACAAGCCTTTGGTGATTGAGGAGATCGAGGTAGCCCCGCCCCAGGCCAACGAGGTCCGCATCAAGGTGAGAGACGTCCACTATCAGAACACACACACACATGTACACACATGGTTCATGTTAAGGCTGCAATATGCTAAGTATTGCTATATATTGCGATATATTGCAATGTATTACCTTTCTTCAACTGCAAACTATGCAATTTGTCAACATCTGTTGTATCTAATAACATGACGTTATCCCTCCGTTCATCTCACTTAAATCAGCAGCAAAATGGGTTTAGTCAATCAAGCAGACGGACTAACCAACACTGCCACCTCATCACCGTTGGTATCTAGGCCTCTGAGAGTCCCAGGTCTCTGAGCTTGATGATGAGCTCGGAGAGCGTAATGCTATTGAATGCTGAACAAGTCAATGAACAGCATTCTCTCATGTGTTTCTCCCCCAGCTGGGAGGTGGCAGGGTGGAGGGGCCTCTCCAATTTCTATTACCTACGTGCATACCTGGATTTCCTGTATTCTTCCAAATTACCCAGTTGTTGGGCTTCAGATTTGGAAATGTTTGTAAAGTAACCTTTGCTTCAGCATCATTGATGCTTTTGCCGATATAGCCAATAACCGATGCTGTTGAATGCTTGGTTGAATCGAGAGAGACTCAACGAAACAATGGCCGAGTCCGGGATCATGAAACCCGTAACGTTACAGTTCTTAGGGTCACATTGAAAAGCTTTCCTGCTCCTAGGTTATCCAGTGACTTTGCATGTTCCTCAGCCTAACCAGGATCCGGCCCGTGACCCTTTTCTCTGACATTTCTGGGTTGGGCAACAAGTAATCCAAGCCATTGATTAATCAGCGTGCATGATTGGAAAAAGAGAAATTTAATAACAAAATAATATCACAGTTAAAGATGAAAAGTCTGAAGTTGAGGATACGGCGCCCGTCCTCTGCGTCATGTTTCCCACATATCCACGGTGTGTGACGGCACTTCTTTATGTCACTCTTCCCTGTTACTGCCAATGTGTGACAATGTGCTGGAGAGGTGTTTTGTTCTATAAAAAGTTATAGATTTGATATTCCAAATACAGCAATATAATGTTAAAGTTTTGCTCGTGCTGCTGAACCCACAGAGTAAACACTCTCTCATTACTCGTCTTTGTCTTTTCAATGTTTGCTTACTGTCTTCGGTGCAGATTGTGGCGACTGCGGTGTGCCACACGGACCTGTACCACCTTTTCGAGAGCACGCATGAAGAAGGCTTCCCAGTAGTCCTCGGCCACGAGGCAGCCGGCATTGTAGAGAGCGTCGGGCCTGGAGTCACTGAATATCAGCCAGGTCAGTTTGGAATGATGCAATCTTTTGGAATAAAAGCTTATTTGCTTTCTTTCCAAGAGTGAGACAGATTGATATGTCTCATGTCTGTGTGTTGAGTACGGCATTTAGACAAGTCTAGCTGAGCTTAGCTGATCTTAGCTTAGCTTAGCGTGACTGGAAACAGCTAGTCAGTCTCTTTCCAAAATTCAGATATATCGTGATCAATACGGTTGGCCCACATGACCAAAACCCATAAAGCTCACTATTAGCAAGTTGCATCTTGATAATTTAGTCATTAACAAAAGTGTAAAAATTACTAATTGGGATGTTAGTTAAATTGTATGAGGGATGTCAAATGAGGCCTAACTGTGCCATTCAGCCAATATTTTTTAACACCATTCTAAAAGTTGGCCGAAATTAATTTGAAGTGGCAACATGGCAATATTGTTTCTGTCTTTCAGGAGACAAGGTCATCCCTCTGTTTATCTCCCAGTGTAGAGAATGTCACTTCTGTAAGAGTCCGAAGACCAACCAGTGTGAGAAAGCATGGTGAGCTCAATAAGCACTCATCTCCTCCCTTCCACTCCGTCTCTCTTCAGTCTTAACTTTTCATTTCATTCCTCTTGGGTGTGTTCATGCGGTTACAGACAAGACATTATATTCAACACGTACAGTATCTATCAGTGTATAGCAACTTTAGATGTTGTCTGACGATACCACGGGACAGATAGTTGAGATCTTTGCTCCTATTTTGTTCTTCATTCCAAGCATAAAAGATTATCTATTTTACTCTTACAACTATTTGCTGCAACCTAAAAGAAGAGAACAAAAATAATGCTGCAGTTGCATATTTATTTCAACAAATTCTCTATTCAGGGTTGGTCTTCACAACATGTTGTCAGCCCCAGACTCCAGGTTAACCTGTAAGGGGAAGAAACTGCTGCAGTTTACAGGAACCAGTACCTTCTCCGAGTACACTGTGGTC